GGAGGATGGGTGTGGACGTGGCAGCTGGGTGGCCACGGCGTCTGCAGAGCTTCCCTAGGGCAGAGTCTTGGCTGGCAAAGTGCAGGGCTGGAGGAGGACTGTCCCCAGCTCAGGTGGCTCCCTGCAGGTGCTACCCTGCACGTCTGCCCAGCTTCAGGGACACCCTCCCCTCTGCAGGAGCCCCAGCCCACTCCCAGCAGCAATTGGGTGAGCCAGGGCCACCTGAGTCTGCCCGGGACCCAGTGGCATTTCCTGAGGATCCGTATGACTCCATTTCTTCCCCCACAATATGGCAAGCAGCTGAACAGCCCGGATCTGAGCACTCAAACCCCAAAACGCCCCCAAATCTGAAGGTATGGCGGTGTTAGGTCAGCGCTAAGACATTTTGGATTTCAGAGCATTTTTGGATTTCCAGATAAGGGATGCCCAACTGGTCTATGCAAAAATCTAAAAAAAAAAAAAAAACCCTCTCTGAAACACTTCTGGTTCCAAGCATTTTGAATAAAGGATAATCAACCTGTACTAGGATATTTTCTTTTAATAGTTGAGACAAACATAGGCTCAGAGGAGTTAGGCAGCTTTACTGGAGACACACAGCAGGGCCAGGATCTAAACTCTGATCTGCCTGACCCCTTGCCTCTCTCACGCTGTGGCCCCTGGGGCCTCAGGACCATTGACTGGGGCCCCATTTCCCACTAATAGGCTGGAGTGGAGGGAGATTTCAATCCAATAATGCAAAACTGCAATAACCATTATAATTAATTTATACAAAAGACATTATAAAATTACACTCTGTGCATTCCAATCCCATCCATGAGGTGCACGGGCTTCCCAGTTAAGCTACCGGGCCTCATGAAGACAGACGGGAAAGAGGTATTTCAATATTTCTTATAATTTTATATTCTCTCTAATATCTCTCATGCTAATTTCATTATGCCACGCAGTCGGCACGGTGATGTAATTATTGAAAAGTAATTTTGCAATAAATGGATTTAAATGTGTTGGAGTCCATTGTAAATTCAATCTCGAAGTGAGGGTGGCGGGTGCAGGTGGGAGGTGGTGAGGGGGCCGGGCCAGGGGTGGAATCAGAGATGTCCTGCGGGACCCTGTCCAGCCTGGAGTCTCCTTACACCTGCGAAGACCAGGACTGACACCTGGGCATTGAGAACCCTAAGCCTGGCCCACCCTGCCCTAACCCACCTGGCCTCAGGGCCCTCAGCTCCCTGTGACCCTCTCTGTAGCCCCAGGGACGGAACTCAGGGGCACTCGACCACGGAGCCCCATCCCCAGCCCTATTTTGTGTTTTGTTTAGAGACGGGGTCTCACTGAATCGCTTAGGGCCTTGCTTTTGCTGAGGCTGGCTTTGAACTCGCCATCCTCCTGCCTCAGCCTCCTGAGCTGCTGGATTACAGATGTGCACCACCATGCCCAGCTCTGTGGTCCCTCTTGTGTCCCCTCCCAGACAGATTCACATGGCAGCCCATGGGCCCAGGCCACATCATCCACTCCTGGCATGAGACCCTGGGATAAACTCTAGCTCGGCCCAGCTGACCTCCCCTCCTGCCTTCTGACCTTTCCACTTTGACCTGTGCCGCCTCCCACCCCACCTCAAGGTCACCTTATAGGCTGGTCCTTCTGCCAGGACAGCTATCCCTCCCCTCATGCCCTCAGCCCCGAGTGCCTTGCTGAGACTGGCCCAGCCATGGGACAATGACACTCATGAAGTCTCTGCTCCCCTGAAGGACTTTCCTCATGAAGGCACACAGCACCTTCTGGCTTGAGGCAAGCTGAGCCAAGTTGGGGGAAGATTGGGGGGACAGTGGCAAAGCCCCATCTGTGGGGGATGCTCAGATGGGACATCCCCCAGGGAGCCTTCTGTGCCTGGCGGGGACCACAGTGGCTGGGCCTGCGGCAGATGCCCACTGGGCAGGGGAGAGGGCGACTGGGGAGCTGGATGGGATCCCAGTGTGCAGAGCTGGGAGGTGCAGCTTGGTGTCCTCACCTGTCAAGTGGGGAACCCCTGTGCCAAGGTGGAGGGAAGGAAGAAGTGTGCATACAGCAGGTGCTCAGTCATTGCCCCGCTTGCTCCACAAAGGCCAAGAAGAAAAGGTTGGTCCATCTCCTCGGCTCATGCACGGCTCATGGGTCAGGCATCCTGTTTCTACCTGCTGACCACTGACCGGCCTCTCAGCTGTGCTTCCGAGGGGACATGCGTCAGCTCAGGCACCACTCGAAACCACCCAGAGCCATCCCTGTTGGAGGGTCCCCACTGAGGGGTGCTGCCTGTGTCCCGCCGCGACCCATCTCACATATGGGCAAGAACGAGGCCAGGCACCTGTGGTCCCTGGCCCTCCCAGGCCAGGGGACACCTTTGTCCTCTGACAGTGTCTGCACCTCCCCACCCACCTCTGCTCCAGCCACCCCTCCTGTCACTCCTGGAGCGCTCTCTGCTCCCCAGGCCGGCACCAGGGCCCTCCCTGCCACAGCCAAACCCGATCTGCAATTTGTTCTTGGGCGATGTGTAAATTGGCACCTCATTGATTATTAATGAAGTGCTAATTGCTCTTTGCAACCGATTCTGATGCGCAGGCAGCTGGGGCTGTTTGTACAGGTTTCAGGAGTCCCTGTCCCTTCCACAGCCGAGGGGACCCATAGCACTGGACAGGGGCAGGACCCCCGGCAGCGTGCCGAACCCCCACCCTGTCCCCACAGAGGGGCCTGAGGGCAGAACAGAAAGCCCACGCAGAAACCCGCTGTGTGTCTTCCAGAGAGGGACAGCCAGGTCACAGTGCCTGTTCCGGTGGCTCGGGCCCTGGGGCCTGGCTGGGGTCTGGGTGGCCTTTGGCTCGCAGTTTCACTGCCCGGATGCCGCAGGCCCATCCTATGAGCTGTGGCCTGGGAGAGGTACCCACACCATGTCATTCTTGGCTTCCACCCTGGGGCCTGGCTGGGAGGCTGAGGACTGAGGGTGGGTGCTGGCCCAGGTGGCCTGGTCAGGAGGGCCAGTCCAGGGGCAGAGGCTCTGACGCAGTGGAAACACCAGCAGCTTGGAGACTCAAGATGGCCGCTGCCCAGTTGCACCAGGCGGTTGCCTGGCAACAGGGGCTCAGGGACGTCCCCAGCTGAGCTGGCTGCTCTGGGGACCAGGTCCCCTGGGACAGGGCAGGAAGTGTGATCTGGTGATGCTCTAGAAGCTGGGAGTGAAGCCTCCCCAGGGCCTGGTCATCGCAGGACCCTCGGGCCTCCTTCCTTCTGGCAGGATCCTGAGGTCCCAGGCCTGACGACTGAGGAGTGGCCGTCCCTCTGCCCCACGTGCAGACAGCGTCAGGAGACGTGCACGAGGAGCTTCCTGAGGGGACCCGGCACCTGCGCCAGGTGGGCGGGGGAGCCTGACATGGAGCCTTCTTCCCAGGGTGGAGCTCGGCTTGCTCCCCAGGTCCCTGCGGGGCTTGTGGGGTTCTGGTCTGTCCCTTGATGTGCGCGGTGGGCTCTGCTGGCCTGGGAACAGCTTCTCCCCCAGCAGCCCTCGTGCCTTGGGGTCCAAGGCTAGGGTGGGGAGGTGGTGGGGCTCTGGGACTGACCTGTCCCCCGGGGGGACTCTGGCTGGGTTGACCTCCTGGGTGACATCCCCTGGGGATGTGGGAAAGGTCTGTGCAGCCCTGGACAGGCCAGGAAAGAGCTGCCACCTCCCCTGACCCATAGACTGAGAGGCCACTCAGTGAGGTCAGCACTTGTCTGTAAGGTGGAGACCCTCAAGCCGATCATACAGCCGCCCACCAGGCCAGGGCTCTGGAGGTAGACGGCAGGAGGGTCCCCCATGTGGCCTCATGCAGGAGGGAACAGGGACAGCAGGGATCAGGATTAGAACCCGGCCCTGCCCTGCTGAATTCTGGACTTGAGGCCTGCTTTACTTCTGTCCATGAGGGGACCTCCGAGGTCCCCTCCACCATCTGAGAAAGGTCTCCCCAGCGTATTTCCCACAGGCAGCCTGGGGCAGTTGGGACCCCCGGCACCTCTGTCCTACAGTGCCCTGCGCTTAGGGGACCTGCTCTGCATGCCCCAGCAGTGCCACAACCTCATCCTACCCAAGTCCCCAACCTCCCAACAGCAAGGGCCCTTCCAAGAGGTGTCCCTGCCAGGTCACTGTGGCCCGGGGTTCTTGGTCTTCCCCAGGCCTGTCGTGCCTCAGCCGGACCTTCTGGTCCTGAGCCTTCATGCCCAAGCTTGGGGCTGGGGGATGAGAGGGACAGCTCCTCTCATGGACAGAAGTAAAGCAGGCCTGAGTCCAGAATTCAGCAGGGCCCCTTCCAACCCTGATCCCTAGATCAGGTGAAAGGGAGTCTCCTGCCTTCCCTGTCCTGTGGGTCAGGCTGCGCATCTCCCAGGACACCTCAGGGCGCCTGTGGCCCCAGGACGGGGGTCTCTCCCTGTGGGTGAGCTGCTGTGAGAAGCCGGAATGAGCATGTGGCCAAGGGTGCTCTGGCCCTGGAGTGGCAGAGCAGGAGGAGCAGAGCTTAGTGGGTCCCACCTCCCAGCAGTGAGCTGTAGGGGT